ATAAATATAAATAAAATAAAATAAATATATTGTGTCCAACTACAACAAAAAAATATTTTTAAATGTCAAGAACATGACTATTATGCTCAATTTACTTTGTACTTCGCACTGGGCTAAAAACTTCCCATGCAGTGTTCCTTTGATTTTCACAGCGATCTTTTTATTAAGATGAGAAAGGAAACTCTGAGATTGCCTTGCCCAGGGCACACAGTTATCCTGCAGCTGGTAGGACTCATCTGGCGGAGTGACTAGATTCTTGTCCTCTGCCATCATGCTTTCCAGACTCCCTCAGATTAAAACTCAAAGGTGATTGAAAAAGGATAACTGTGCTAATAATGTTCCTTTGAATATTTTATATGAAGAGGTTCTGTGACTTGTTTTTTAGTAGAAAAATTTTCCATGATATTGAATAATAATAATAATTCAGGAGTGTGTGAGATGGCTATCAATTTTCTATCAATTCTGAGTCTTTCTATTTATTGTTACCAGATCAATTTAGGAGACATATTAATATAATTGGTGATTTGATATAATTGGTGATTTAATGACTGGATCAAAAAAATAGAAACTTCAGTGGCTATATTGTATATGCTAATTATAGTTTTACAGCTAGACAGCTAGTTTGTCTACAGAATAAAATCTAGATAATATAATTTGCCTATATGAAAGAGAATGTGGTTTCCTACATAGTTTTTATGTATGAAATGTTTTAAAGCTTTTAACTCTATTAATAGCAACAGTAGGTATGGCAGTGTGCTTCAGAATGCTTAAAGCTTTAGAATTAGAAGAAAAACAGGATTCAAATGACAGTTTTGCTACTTACTAGGACATATAGACTTAGTTATTAAGACTTATTATTTAGACTTCTTATTAAGCATCAATACTGCCATAGGGAAAGTGGGTCTATTAATATTTACTTCAAAGGAGTGATAAGCAAAGATTATATAATTTTTCCATTTTTTAAGTAACATTTATTGATCTGTACTATGTGCAGAACACTTCCTAAGTACAGTCATATAGCAAAGAAAATAAGATTTCATTCCAGGACTCGTAAAGTTTATATGATATTGGGATTAGAACACTAATAACCAAATGAATATTTAATATTAAACTAATGATATATAGGTAATGCATATAGTGCACTTTGCTTAGTTGTAACCATGTGGCAAATGCAAAATATTGCAGGGTTGAAAAAATAATAATCATTGCATTTTATTACATATATAAGGCCTGTATGTAATATGGTCATATACGCAAAATAAAGCAAGAAAAGCAATCAAAGATAATGAATTTACTTCTTGCAAAATGTTTAAAATAGAAGTCCCTTGAAAAGTATGCAGAATCTTGGGATTTATATATCGAACAAGTCCCTTTCTTTTTGTTTAATGAAGGCAGAGCAGAAACTCCTAAGCAGAGTGGGTCTTCTCTGCTGTCTTCCCCTAATCTTCTTGCTAAAGCATTGGTCTGCCTGCTCTACTTGAGAGCACGGTGTTGATGACATTGAAAAATCATTAATGAAGCTCCCCTCCCTAGACCCATCAGCAATTTACATTTCATAAATGAAATCAACAGCCTGGAAAAGTCAGTGCTCCATATGAAATGGCAGGTTGTCTGCCTCAACAACTCAGCATGGGGATTTCTTGATTCCATGTTTCTGAAATGCTTGTATGTGAGCCCCAAATGAAGGGCTCCAGGGACAAGTGTTTATACAAGCTAGATATTGCATTAATGCTAGTGGTAGAAAAAAAATTTAAGCAGAGAAGACTGAGTGAAAAGATAAAAGTGCCCATTCCTTTCTCTGGTCTCCAGATTTCAATCAATAGCATTAATCATTGTCCTTAGTTTCCTGTAGCTTCTTAGAACAGCCTTTGGGACTAATTTTTTTTAAATGTATATATTGTTGGTTTTTAAAAATATGACCAGAAATAGGTGCTAGTTGGGAACTGCATCCTTATATGACTCAAAAATTAATCATCAGTAGAAATGTCATCCACACAATGAGGCATTAAACTCTTAATGACCAAATAGCCTAATAAAAGAGCTGCTCACCTTAGAAAATCTGTTGACAATTTCTCACATAAAAATTCCCATTTTGAATATTTCAAGGGTAAAGTCCCAATCGTGTATGAAGAAATAAAATTACCTTGAAAGTTCATGCAATTTAATGAGCATAATTTTAAAATACTGATGCTCTTATCACTTAAAACTTTCACAATTTTACAACATTATTTTCTCCATTTTATAAACAACAAAATGGAGACTTATTTTAAGAAATACTGAAGGTTGCAAAACTTAGTAAGGAATCTGGCTTTTAAAGACAGATTATATGATCTAAAAGCTGGCTCTTGACACTCCAAAACAAGTAATAATTTACTTTTATGTTATCTGATTAGTGTTTACATAATACTAAAACCCAGTAATCCTATTTCAGTGAGAGGATCCTCACACACTTGTATATTTGATAGTGCATGATAGGCAATTTTATGTACAAGTTGATTCTAGTTGTATTGTATGCTATAAAAATGTTATCCACAACTTTTAGTTCTTCTAAAAGATCTTTATACAAATATTAAAGCTAAGAGAATTCTATTTCAAGGGTAAAATGACAATGTGATTGAATAAGAGCCATGTGCAGAGTAAAAGAGCAAGGCTCTTTCAAAAAGAGACACCTCATTTTAATTAGCAAAATAACAGTGAGCCCTATCCTAGGAAGAAAAGACGAAACTTGTAGGCATCTGTTTCTGGGAAATTAAGTTATGTGCCTCAGATGTACTTCAGAAGTGGAGAAATAAGGAGGAGATGTGGGTCATTTGGTCCTTGTGATGTGCTTTCTGGTTAGGGAGAAAAGGCTGAGAAGCTACAAGGGAGTCCTTTTACAGCCACCTGAAAACTGGAAGAATTTTGACAAGTTGTTTTGTAAGCCTTAACTGCCTCATCTGCAAATGAAGATTAAAAAAAAAAAAACACTTACTTTATAGAATAATAAAATAATACAAATTCACAGTAGACCAGAACTTGAACCATAATAAATTATTTAGAAAATTAATTTTTACTACTAAAATTTGGCTAATTTATTTGAAAGTTATAACATTGGTTTTAGCATAATTCAATCAAAAAGGAACTTTCTGAGGAAAAAAAAAAATATTTCCCTTTCAGTGAAACTCAAACTCATCAAAATTTACCACCAAAAAGAGTTTGGTAGTGTTTTATTATGGATGAAGGAACTACATATAACTTAATTTTAGCCAGACTGGTGTAGAAAAAGCACACAGCACCAAGAAACCCAATAATATAGGAGTCATTGAGTCAATGGTGGTTGTATTTCATATGGTTAAACACCGAATGATACTGCTTAATTGAAAAATTAAGAATGATACCACTTAATTGAAAACATATCATTCTAAAATAAAGATAAATGTAACAGCTATGTGAAACTTAATTTTTCCTTTTAGTTTTAGAAGCATGAGATAAACCAATTTCTTCTAGGACTAAAATATACAAGAGGGACTTTTTTTGGTTGTTGTTTCCTATTCACCATTTCCTTCACTATTCATTCAACAATAGTGATCAAATGCCATGTAGCAGTTATTTGACCAAATCCTGGTACTTAAGTAGTAAAGAAGACATAGTTTTTGTTCAAAGAGCTTATCATCTAAACAGGGAATACAGACAGGGAAAAAAAAAACTATATAAATTATATTTTATATAACATTAAGGCACATAAAAAAAAACATCAACATCAAATTTCTCCTATCCAGTGAAGTGATAGTCTCAACAAATGGGAAGAAATATATGCCAAAAAGTGTCAAAGTACATTAATAGCACTGACATCACTTTGTATAGGATGTGAATCTGAACCTTAAAGGAAGTAAGATGCGAATGACTATGTAATTCTCTATCATAAAATTTTGCAGTTAAACGGATGTGCTATTTTACATTGTAACTATAGAAAATGAAAAACTACAAAAATACAACCTGAGGTTTTTTTGTTTTGTTTTGTTTTTTGGCAATGCTGGGGTTTGAACCCAGGGCCTTGTGCATGAGAGGCAAACACACTACCAGCTAAGCTATATCCCCAGCCCCTTAAGCTACAACCTGAATAACACTGGATAACACCATTTCTGAGGCATGGTCAATGCTTAGTGAGCATCCCTGTTATGGGTTTGCTTTTCCTGTTTTTGAAGGGAAGACAGCTGTATTGTAACTGAATCTTTCCATTAGTCAATAGAATCTCTTTGCCCAGGGATGGCACTATAACGCCTAAGCAAACCTGACTAAATAAGACAAGGAACTGGAAATTTTAAAATAGTATCATTATTACCTTTGGATAGAATGGTATCATAAGTATTACTTGGATATTTGTAAAAATTATGCATTTTTTAAAAACTATTTTTATACTAATACTTTAGAATGCATAATTTCTAGACAAAGGGAATTATCCCATGATGATAAGAAAACTGTTATTATTCCAATGTTTGCTTATGTTATTAAACTTAATATTGACCTATTTATTTTTTAAAAATTAATAGCATTAGAAATACTAATAAAACTAGTTATGTCATTTTGAAATTATTAAATTAACCACCAGGTGGAGCTCCATGAATTAAGTGTATCAGTCAAAAATAGAAAATTGCTTAAATTGGTCAAACTGGGAAAATCATGGTAGTGATTATAATTTCTTCATTTTCAAAGCTCTTATGAATCATAGGAGATTGGATTTTACAAGAACAAGATGCCAAATTACTTTATTAATATAAAACGTTTTGGCAAAGTGGGGTTTGAAATCAAACTAGCTTTTCTTAAATTACTTTATGATTTATCAAAGGTACATTTTCCAATGACAAAGTCATAAAAGTATAATGTAGTGATGAAAGTAACTATAACTGAAATTGAGAACATATAAGAAAAATCAATGAAAACTGCCTATTAATCCACTTGTACTGATTGGTGTTCATTTTTTTTATTTATTTGAATGTGTTTATGTACATGTTTTACTCCAGGACCTGAAACTAAAACAGATGAAAAGATCTCAAAATTAGGTAAGAGCACTTGTTAAAACTTTAACATTTTTTTTTTAAGTTCTGTTTGGTCTGAACAAGGCTAGTTGTACAATCAGGACAGGGTGGGGTAAAGCCTTGAGACATGCAAAACACTGAAAATATATCAGCGCACCCTCCCTACATGTATTAAGTTAAAAGTATGCTAAAATTAAAGTAAATTCCCTGCTAACAGTGTGTTTAGAGTAAGTTTATCAAAGTACCCTAACCATTAGCACTTTCTGCTCTCTGTTTATTTACTAGACAATTGAATATTGTTCACAAACTGCTAAGGTATTAATCTGAAAAAAAATTATTCTTATGATCAGTTGAGTCTTATATACTTACATTCACATATAATAAACCATTATTTTAAACCTCAAAACAGTGGTTTTATATACTTTAACCTAATAAATTCAACCCTTTTTTTCTCATTGACTAAATATACAAATATTCTTTGGAGAGGCAGTGGATTACCATATTGGCTATAAATTTAAAAATCAGAATGCCTTTATTTATTTATTTTGTCCTGGGGATTGTACATAGGGGCACTTAAACACTGATATACACTCCCAATCCCTTTTTATTTTTTTATTTTGATACAGAACCTCACTAAATTGCTGAGACTTGTCTTAAACTTGTGATCCTCTTGCCTTAGCATCCAGAATCACTAGAATTACAGGCATGCACCACCATGCCTGGCTAAATATCAAAATACCTTTAAAATTAATTTTCTAAAAACCTATTTTGCAAAAGATAAAGTCCAGAGATTAGTTGGCACTCAGGGCAGACAATAAAAGTTGGAGAAGAAACATCATAGATTAGATGAAAATACAGAAACAGATTATAAGTGTAGAAAAAATTCTAATTAAGTATATTATAATTAGGGATAACCTAAATACTTTATATCTATATAAAGAAATGTATATGACTATATCTATCTAAGCAAAAAAGGATCTATCTCTATCTCTCTGTACAGTGAAATTGATGCTACATACGTGCAGAAATTCATATGGTTGGTCTTAAAATATTTGTGTATTCTCATTTACACAAATTTGATCCTTTATCCTATATTTAAGTCATTACTATAAGCAATTCATATATATACATACACTCACACACACATATATATTTAATGTTAGCCTGAATTATTAATGTCACTTTTCTTAAAGTTTCTGCCAGCTTATGAAAAGGAATTGTCTAAGTCATTTTATTTTTAGTGAATGAACATAACCATTTTAAATGACTTTATATAACCTCAAAGCTTTTGTTCTCTGCCAGATGATAAAAAAATAGCAATTTTAAGCTGTGGGAAAATGTATATAGAATTACAATGATATATTGAGTGTTTACATAATAAAAATACCGAAATTTAGATATATTTTCAGAAAAAGAAAAATTGCATATAAAAATTATTGCATATAAAAATTACTAGTCTCAATGAGAATTCACTCATCAGATAAAAGCTGTTTTATGTTGTCCCTTCCTGTAAGCATGACATTACATTTTATACTTTATTTTGCTGTTGGAATATAAACAAAAAATTAGCATAGGCATTATAAATTAGCTATTATTATTTTGCATTAAATATATATGTCTATTTTTATGGGTCATTTATTTTTAGCTTCCTATAAGGAAAGAAAAATTGGTATTACTGGCATTTTAAATAAAATATAACCAATCAACAATTTGTTGAGAACACATACTATGCTAATTTTGATGATGCAATTCTGGAATTGTGCTTGATGATACAATATTTACAAACAAGCAATAAGATGTTGTTTTTATTCCAAAAGAGTATAATTGGAACATAGACATGAACTGTTTAAAGACAGCTACAATGCAATTATATTAGTGAAACCTGGGAGGTCAGAGCCATTTGTATAATTTACTGCAATCAGTAAAAGTATCATGGCAATGGTATATTTAAAGTGAAATATTAGGAATACATAAGAACAACTGAGTAGGTAGATGATTATACAGAATGCTGAAGAGATAGACTGGGCTTTATGCTAGAAAGAAATGAATTTGACTACCTTTGCCACTTGTTAGGGGTGAATTTACTTAAAAATCACTTCATGTTTCTGAATTTGTTTCCATATCTATTGAATGAAGGCCATTATCCTAACTTAACAGAGTTACTGTACAAAACAGAGGTAATACTTTCCACTTGGTACAACTTCAATAAATTGTTAGTCTATTTAGGAGTAAGCTCAGAGGGAGGGGTGATCACAACAGTAATGGGAGACAGGGAGAAAAGGACCAAGCAGCAAATGAGACTCCAGGGGTCACAGGATAAGCATAACAGGGTAAATTCAATAGTAATATGCAACAGGCTATAGCATGCTATAAGTTGGTTCCTAAAATTTAGGGACTATGTTGTAATACTCAGGTTTTTGTTGTTGTTGCTGTGACCAAAATGCCTGTTTTATGTTGTCCCTTCCTGTAAGCATGACATTGCATGTCAACTTAGAAGAGAAACAATATATTTTGTCTCATGGTTTCAGAAGTCTCAGTTTATGGTTGGCCAACTCCCTTGCTCTAGTTTCCAACTTAAGCAGAATATCATGGCAGAAGGACATAGAGTAGGAAAACTTTTCAGATTAATGACAGCTAGGAAACAGAGAGGGAAGAAGGATCCAGGGATAAGATAAATATTTCCAGGAAAACTCCCAGTGATCTACTTTCTAGGAGGGTACTCCCAGTAGTCCATTCAACTATCAATGGATTAATCCTCAATCCATTAATTCACAAATGGATTAATCCAATGATGAGGTCAGAGCCCTCATTATCCAATCATTGCCTAAAAGCCTCATCTCTGAACCTTGTGGTATTGAAGAGTATGCTTTTAACACATGAGCTTTTTGGGGACACTTCAGATCCAAAACAAAATTAAAAAAAGGAGTAAAAAATAAAATTTGTAACCTTGAGGACTTGAATAAGAAAAAAGGGTTATTATTGTCTTAGGATGGCATGCAGCATAAAATCCTTCAGAAGGAAAATAGAGACAGATATTTGAACCAAAATATTTTTATAATAATTTAGGCATTATAAAATCAGTAGGGGCACAATATAAAGGTGGCATAGAGAAGAAGCAATGGCTTTGGAGTTTTAATTTTAAATTAATTAACTTCATTTACCTTCAAAATTATTTATAGCCATGACTAATATTCAGCGTAGAATGATTTTTGGTTTCTTAAAAATCACTCAAATTTGAAAACTACTAAAACTACTAATGACATTTTATCATATATTCCTTCAGGCATATAAACACATATGCTTTAAAAACACAATCATTCTCCGTGTATTGTGCTATAAATGCTTTTGTAATTGCCAAGCTGTTTCACCAAATGAATAGATTCTGATGACATAGCTATATATAACCTCGAACACAATGTCTGTCTGTGAGTTTGGAGAAGATGGTCAAATACCACAAATACCACAGCTGCAAAAGTGAAGAGGATGCTTCAAAGGTGGAGTGGATGCTGGTTTCCACAAAGAGATATTCTATAGACACGAGGAACTTAGGAATGATCATTTTGAATCTGCAGACTGTATCCATGGATTTAGAGGTTTCAAGTAGAAAAAGGAAAGAGCTCTTCAGGAAAAATGAGCATGCAGACAGAAGAGTCAGGAACAAGGACAACTTCTTGGAGAAGTAAAAGAACTGGCAGAGAGATGGAAAGAGCCTTAGCGGGAAGTCTAGGAGCTTAGTGTGCCTGCTGTTGCCAGCATCCCGAAGTGGAGACACTTTCAGGAAGGAGACAATGTCAGCAGTCAGTACCAGTGCCTCTTTCAGAAAGGTGAAGAGTTGTGATGACCGAGAAAAAGTCATTATTTTGACACATAAAACTGTCATTCTGTGCCCTTTTCTGAAAAAGCTTGAATAGTGTGATGGAAGCAGGAAGCAGCTTATAAGAATGAAGAAGGGAATTTATTCGTAATAATTGAAGGCAGAATACAAAACTATTTTTTCAGAAGTCTCTTACTAAGAGGTGAATACTGACATTCCAGAACAAAGAATCAATGTCATATTTTTTACATTACTTCTCATATTTATGATAGAATAGAGAATTCTAAGAAGAGCAAAACATCCATAGAGGGAAATCTTAATTAGGAGAGAACTGTCCCAGATATTAGAAGTGTTGGGAGACACACTGGAGAAGGAAAGAATTAGTTTAATTAAAGGGAAGAAAAAAAAATTTCTCCAGAGCTTTGAGGGAATAATGAAAGGATGATTAAATTAGAGTTGAAGGTATATGAGGATTCTACTGCTTGGTGATCTTTTCTTAAAATTCTGTGAAGATGACCAATAACATTTGTTGCAAAATTCAGGGGATGGTTTTCTTGTTGCTTAATATGGTGATCCCTAGGCAATATTAGACAATGTTTTTCACCTCTTATTTTTCAAAGTAAAATAATCATTTATATGGCAAAACTAAACCACTTAACTGACAACTGTTTAAAAAAATTGAAACAACAACAAAATATGACTTTTGTGATACTGGAGAAATATTATGATGATAATTTAGTTTTGATACAGCATAATATTTAGGCACAAATTTTTCAGTCTCTCAATGAAAATGAATACAAACAGGACATATGCTTTGTTAGGTTATTAAATAATAGTTAAACATTACTTTCAGGAAGAAGTAGGCCTTAATGATAAGTGGTAATATCATTAAGAACAAAAATGAATACTGTTTAGATTCCACATATATGTGATGTCATGCATTATTTGTTTTAGTTTTCCATGACTGACTTATTTTACTTAGCATGATGTCCTCCCGGTTTATACATGTTTCTTCAAAAGGCATGGGAACATTGAACAAATGATACAAAGGTTCAGTTATGCACAATGAATACATTTTGGAGATTAAATGTACAGGATAATAGTTGCTGTGCTCTGGATATTTGGATATTCCCCAAATCCTAAGTTGAAAATCTAATTACCTATATGATAGTATTAAGAGGTGGGGTATTTAGAAGGTGATTCATGTCCC